CAGATTGCCAAATGATCCGCTGAATGTCGCAGAGGTACTTAGTGAGCGGCAAAATGAAGCTCTACGCCCTGATGATAAAGTTTGTCCGATATGCGGGCTTTCTTTTAAGGGCGAACGAGGTCTCGGAACCCACATTGCAAAAAAACATCCCAGGGAGGCGAATAATAATACATTGAGGGGCATAGTAAAGAACGTGATAGGTCCTAGAAATGGAGAGGGTGAGTCATCAAAAATAAAAGAGGACATTGTTGAATGGTCTACTACGTTCAAGAACCTTTTAAAGCAAGAAATGGTGAATACTGCGGATTTTGATGAGGCCGTAGGCAAGTTCCTAAAGTTCCTCAAAGTCATTAATGCGGAACTGCCAGGTCCCCAGCACCCAGCCGTAAAATTTTATAGGATGAGGAAAAAAAATAAAATGAAAATGGCTGACAAGGGTGCTGGACAAGTCTCAAATCCGCAGAGGGCAAACAAAGTAGACAGGAGTCGTCGGCAAGAGCAGTATCAGTACGAGGTTGCCCAATATAATTATTATAATAAAAGAAAAAAGGTTGTGCAAACTGTAATGAATGCCGACGCTCCTAAACGGTGTCCTCTAAAAATGGCCGATATCGAGAGGCATTATAAAGACCTCTTTGAGAACGAAAATCTCTGCGGGCGTGCGGATTACGAACAGTGTACCCCGATGCCGGATTTGCTGTCCATTGAGATAGAAGCCATCAGGAAAGCCATTAAATCAACATCAATGGACACATCGCCGGGGCCTGATGGAGTTCTGATCCGCACAATAAAATATTTTGAGGTATCAAGCATTATTAAAACGATTGCAGAGATAATGCTGAAGGTGGCCTATGTTCCGGAACCACTTCGACAAGGGCGCACAATATTGATATATAAGGGCAAAGGTGATATAAACAATATCTCTACCTGGAGACCGATCACCATATACTCGATTGTGCGCCGAATCATAGAGAAGGTTCTGGACTACGAGTTAAGAAAGCAGGTCACCTTCCACAAGAGTCAGAGAGGCTTTATAAAAGGCCTCCCGGGAACGCACGTCAACGCGAGGATCATCGACGCGGTATTAAAAGATGCACAAAAAATGAAAAATGACTGTGCGATAGTTTTCCTCGACGTTGTCGGTGCTTTTGACAATGTTGGGCACAAACACATCGTAAGCTCCTTAGAAGCGAGAGGTGTGTCACCGAATCTTACAAATGTCATATCAGCTCTCCTTAGCACGAACACCATAAAGATTGGCAACGGTGTCCATGCAACTAGCCAGATCAAAGTGCTGCGCGGTGTACCCCAAGGTGGCCCCCTGTCGTCTTCACTCTTCAACCTGGCCATCGATCATCTCTACCGCGACCTGTGTGACGAGGACTTTTCCAAGAAATTTGGATACAAATTAAGGAATGAGCAAGATTGTGTGGTCCTCACAGGTTTCGCGGATGACCAGGCAGTGTCGGCGCGTGACAAGGGGGCTGCAGAAAGAGTGATTGACAGCATACAAAGAACATTTAAAGAAATTGGTCTGGCTATAAATCCTCTAAAAAGTATGGGCATCGTTATAAATAAAGGAGAGCTGGAAACTACGGTGCTCTCCCTTGAGAATGGTGAGTACATCCAAACATTGAAGAATGGAGATACGATTAAGTATTTAGGATGTACATTCTCGGGAGAGCTGCAATTCAACGAAGATTCGGTGACTAAATTGAATGATAATCTAAACAAGCTGGTAACCTCTTGCTTACTTAAACCTGAGCAGAAACTCAACATTGTCAATCAATATCTGTTCCCGGGTCTTACTTACCCTCTCCAAACTGCGCCCCTAACAAAGCTACGTCCTGCTATACTGGAGGGCATCGACACTATGATTCGCAGGAGCGTAAAGGCCATTATTGGACTGCCTGCGAATACTTCCACAGCGATGTTGTATGCCCCCAGGAGATACCGAGGATTGGGATTAATCCGCTGCCAATGGGAGGCTCCTCTTCAACATTGGTCCATTGCTCAGCGACTGTCCAATGTACCAGATGCCCTTTTTCAGTCTACCTTCGATTATTCGGCTGAAATTGCTGAATGTGCCGAGAGATTGGGGGTTGATCAGGGTCATCGAAATGTGAAAGCTCTACGGCAGTCGCTACGAGAAAATGCATTTGAGGAATGGGCCAACTGCAGGTGGCAGGGTATTGGTGTTCGCCATTTTAAAGAGACCCCGAAAGCGAATAGATACATCTACGAAAAGCAAGTACTTTCTGGGTCTGAATGGTCGAATGCCCTAAAACTAAACATTAATTATGCACCCCTGCGTGGAGTCCCAGGAGTCAGCGGACAGGTCAGAGAAGTTGGGTCCCTCTGCCGTAAATGCGGCAGAGAGTCTGAAACACCAGCACATGTGCTGGGAAAATGCCCCAACAACTCCCTCCTCATAACACGTCGTCACCACCGGGTCAAGTTCGAATTGATGAGGCTCCTTAGGGAAAAAAAATTCACCTGCTTTGACGAGGTATATTGCATCGATAGTGAGGGCTCTACGAGATACGCTGATATCGTCGCATTTCCCAAGACAGGAAGGACAGCGCTGATCTTGGATCCAACTGTCCGCTTTGAGAGCAATGACCTCGATCAGGCGGGTGAAGTGGAAAGGGAAAAGAAGAACACGTACGATAAATGTATCCCTTTCCTAAAAGAGAAATTCCGTGAGACCTTCGGAGAGAGAGAGTTCACCGTGAGAGGCCTCTGGTTTGGGTCTCGCGGAACTATCCCAAAAAGAACAAGGAGCTTCCTCGAGGAACTAGGTGTCGACATTAAGGACGTAGCGAGGTTGGCTGAAAATATAGTCCTCGACTCCCTGGGAATCATTCACCACCACGTGCATGGCTAGCCCGAGAGTTTTAATTTATGTATTTGTTTATTTATTTTTTTAGTGAATAATTGAAAACAATAGCGATAAAGAGAGAGAAGTGAGAGAAAGGGAAACTTAATGTTAAATAAAAAAAAAAAAAAAAAAAAAAAAAAAAGCATGAACAATGAGAAGAGGGAAAAAGGAAAAAAAAAAAAAAAAAAAATTATAAGGATAAATAAAATAATAAAAATGTATATATATATATATTTCTGTTTTACTAATATTAACTAATACTTCTGTATATTTATATATAAGTTCATATATTGTCTTAAGGATAGAAGAGTATGCTGTGTGTATAGCAACCCAATGTAATTGGGCCTTTTTTTATAAAAATAACGATAATTAAGTTGGAAAAAAAGAGAGAAACTAACTATCTATATGAAATGGTGTTTAAGTGATTCCTAAAGTCCTTTTAAATGTAATTACACGAACAATAATACTTTAAGAGATATTTTTTTACATAACACATGGTTATACTTTACCATTTTTTGGGGGGGAGGAGGGCTTAAGCCCCCATAGATCCGCTCGTGACATCGATCATGGTAACGGTCTTCATATTTTTTGAAAGTTTAACCTTCAAAAGTCCCATCATAAACTGAGCGATGAGGTGGAAAAATAAATGTATAGATTAGATTTTCGTTGAAGATAGAATTGAGTTGTTTGTATGAAAAAATTCTGCCAAAGCTGAAAAAGTCTGTAGATCAAAGAAATGCGTTCTTTTTCTTTTTCCTTTTCAAACCTTGCAGATTCTGATTTATTTTCATAGTTATTGATTTAATCCAGATATCGTTAGTTTATCTTGCATTAGCTTTTGATGCAAGTATAGCTTTTTAGTTATCAATATTTTTACAGTTATAAAAATATCAAAAATAATCATTTCAAATTTTAATAACTAACAACGCCAAGTTCAAATCAGTAAACTAAAATTAAATTAACAAGAATATTAAAACCCACAATGAAGCTGATGTACATGTGAGATTGTTGGGAAAATATGATTCCCCAAAACTCAGTTTTAGTTTTGTATACACACTTTGGTATTTAAATATTTTCTTTTCATAGAAAGTGTTTATCTGAAACGATATCACTAATAAACATACGAGTCCATCCATGTGATCTTGCTACTATGGTTTCTTCAAGTCTTAAGACATATTTTACAGGACAAATATGTGGAATAATTGAAATTAAATATCAGCAAAAATTAATCACTTAACTTTGATTAATAAGACAATTAAATAAATAAATAATGGCGTTCTGTCGTTGGATAGTAGTAATAAAAACTGCCTGAAGATACCAAAAGCTTCTAGATTTTTTTTTAGCATCTTGTCTTTCCTTGAAGGACTGCCATATCACGACAGTAGCGGATTCAAGACTTAATTTTTTGGGGTCTAAGTGTTTTCCCTTATTATTAAATCTTAAAAGCATTAAGTACAGGAACAATACTGCTTTCAGGGATACTTTCCCTTGACGCGTGCTTATATTTAGAAGCTGAAATGCATGCTTAATTATTTAAAATAATAAAATATTATTACTGTTAAGTATTTGGTTCAAATCACTCATAGAAACAGAAATGAACCAATGAAAAATAAATTAATAATTTTATATATATATATATATATATATATATATATATATATATAATTTTTTTTTTATTGGGATGGTTGGAGAGGCTTCGCACCTAAAGCATGATTATTTTTAGACAATTTTTGTTGTTGTGTGTTGGAGGGGAGGAGATTCGTAAAACTCATTTCATTGAAAAATATATTTTAAAAAACATCCTGAATCAGAAATGCTTGGAAACTGTATTATATATTCTGTTGTAACTTCGTTGATTTGGTTTATCCATTTGGGTTTTGGACTCCCTCGTAAACTCTTGAAAACTATTTAGGCATTCATAGTTGCTCCGAACTACATATTTCGTTCATCTTAACCTCCTTGCTGTCATTTTATGAGATAATGGTTGGCTAGTTTCTCTAAGCATTTTAATAGCCCTCCTCCTCCTTGCGTTAGAGAGAGTTAGAGCTCTCCTTTTTTTTCTAGTTGACAGTAGCTAAATTTTCAATAAATTAAAAGTAAATAAAAAGGAATGTTTCAGGTAGCGGCTACCATGGAGGATACAGAGGAGGTACTCAAGAAGGAAGAGATTGGCCTGGTACATTACAACCTGGATGATGGATACGGATCCTCTAACAGCTCTCCTCATAGTCAGTAATAAAATATTATTTTCATATTTTTTTTAAACCTTTTTTCTTGTCTCCATTTCTGTATATCGTAATCCAAAAATATTATAGATTACACATTTTACTTTTAATACCAGTGATGCTGCTGACCGAGAGGCGCTGGAATCTCCTGGAGTCCTCTTTTCCTTCCATGAGTGTGGGGAAATGATTGAGTCGAGGTTTTCCAGAGTGAATGAATTTTGTAAATATTTTATAAAAGTGTGCTTGTATTTAAGTTGTTATATTAATTAGTTTAGTTTCTATTTTTTATATACATTAACTATAATAGTATTATTTTGTTGTTTAATTTATTTTCATTTATTGTACAGAGTATGATTCATACAGAGTATGAATGAGTTGCTCGTTCACAATCACTTGATTGTGACAAAATGTTGTATTTATTCAATAAAGAATTGTGGAGAATAAAAAAAATATATATTTTTACATTGTCAATATTACCGGGATGTGTTCTCCACAATCATCATTAAATTAATAAAGACACTCTTTTTGGTAATTGAATTCTCACTTTTTTCTAACATGTGAAATAGTTAAGGAACAAAATATTTTTAAAATCACACAGGATATCAATTGTATAGTGCTACTAGTAATCACATATGTTAATATAAAAATTTACACTTATTTTTTTTTCCTGCATTGTCCAACTCGATGGTTCAACGAAGATCCCATACAATTATTCTTGCCTGGCAGATATGGACAAATAGCACCTGGAAGCTCATGATGGAGCTCTTTTACTTTCAAGAGATAGACCTAGACAAGGTTTTGAAGAGCTACTGACATTTTATTTTGAATTTGTCACTCCAACAGGTTTTTTTTAAGTTTTATACATTTCGGTTCAACTACAGGCTACATATTACCAAAATATCTTCAATAAATCAATAGATCAACATCAATAAATCATAAAAACCCAAGTAAGAAAAATAATATTTTTTTACCCACAAACACTTTGCTGATTCGTGTTTCCGAAAAATACCATTTATTTTATAATACTTTAAGCCTTTGAATTCGCTTTCATGATTGTTGGATTAGAGAAATAGGACACCTCAGTGAATAAGGCACTGATATATATACTCTTGGGTCAGGCTTCGTGTCCGGTTGAGGCAAGTAATTATTTATTCTTCTATAGCAGCCGTTGATCGACCCGAGGATTCTGAGATCCTCTCGTGGCACGCCCAGTCTCTATTATTTGGGTCAATTTTATTTTAACAAACCAGGTAATTTTTTTTTAAATTTTATTTTAAGATTAATGTAGGTAAGTAAGCCAATGTACCTATACTAGGTAAGGAAAGTATTGCGAGCCGGTCAAATTACCGATAAAAAAAGCCTCCCTCCGTTGTTTTTTTTTTTTTTAATGTAATGAAATCTCCTACAAAACTATATAAAAATCGTTCATTTCGGACAACTGTTAACGAAGTTACAGCTATTCAATTTCCAATTTAAGATTACATATCCTGGTGCCAGTAAGGGATGAATGAGAGAAAAAAGATAAGTAAGTGAAAGTAAGAAAATCTGTTGCCTGCATCACACAAACTTCACTATTTTCTCTACTTTTAACAGAAATTATTGTTTAACAAAATTAGGCTATGGCAAAAAGTTTTTGGCCAGCAATATTATAGGGTATTGAAATTTTTACACTGATCAACCGGTTTACATTACAAAAGCCGGTTTATATTGCTTTAGTTTATAAAATAAATCGTACTCAAATCTATTCTTTGATCAATTTTCAAAAAAATAAATCGAATTCAATTTTTTTTGTTTCTTTATGGACATATGTAAATATATATTAAAACTTTTCTGAAATATGTAGGAAAGTCGTGTGAGTTGACTCATCAGATTTTTTTTTTATTACTTCCAAGAAGTAAATAACCAAAAATATTGATCGGCCGATTTATTTCCTGATTCATTCCAACAATTATTCAGTACAATATTCTCATGCAAATAATTTTTATGATGCTCATCACACATTTTTTTTTTTCTCATTCTCGAACTTTAACATACCAATAAGACATTGAAACCCATTGAGGTATTTCCAACAATTTTACGCGAGACTCTTCTGGGATGTATCAAGATTGGCAAGAACTATTTCCCAAGCGTAAATAGTAATTATTTATAATTAATTATGAATTAATTACAGTCAGTTTTAAAATATAAACGCTAAAGCCACGCCAAAAACTGCCAGATAAAAATTTTCTTCGAAATAAATTACGTGATCTTCCATTTCCTTTAGTCAAACCTTCTGCTGCTTATGAGGTGTTAACAAAAAAAATCTCCCTGGCGGACTAAGGTTGGTGGACAGTGGTCGGGCATTATTCTAGGTACGGTTGAGAAGATACATTACACCATATTAAGGTCCAGCAGGAATAAAAGAAATAATTTACACTCCAGAGTACTATTCATGTCTTTAAATTCTACACATGTTCACTCATCCATTTAATAGTATTGTCTTTTCCACTTATTTTTTTGTCTTTATTTCTTTATGAATAATAATTCTAAAAGAATCATTTTAAATCGCAGGAATGCGTAAACAGTTTATGGCGTTGATAACGTTAATTATTATTACGAAGTTATTGAAAATTCCATCAGTTAAAACTACTTGAAATGAAAACTGATTTATAGATCACAAAAAAAAAAAAAAAATAATAAAACAATGAAAATTGATAAAATTATATTTATAACAAATTCAATGAGAAGTATTTATTATTAATTTTTTTTTGTTGCCGCTGCCCTCCAGGGTCATTGGCAACACCTTCAAATTAAACTATGTTTGTTGTAATGATGATTTTTTAGCTTTTAAAAATGTTAATGGTTTTTTTTATTACATTTTCTCTGTCTTTTAAATTTGATACCATATCCAAATTTCCCCTGATAGTTTTCAGTGTAAGGCAATCTTGCAAAATGTGCTCAACTGTTCTTTGGACATAACACTTCTCGTTATAGGACCAAGTCCTCTTGGTAGGTAGGCATGTGAGAACTAGCGATGTCCAATCCTTAATCTGCAGAGGGCTGTTTCTTCTTTCCTGGAGGATCGGTGAGAAGTTTCTCATTTTGAAGATTAGGTTTTTATTTCCTTTAGTTTGGAATCTTTTTGTTTCCACATATTTTGCCACATTTTCCACACATCCTTCTTATTTTTTTTAATTGGTCTTCTAAAAGGAGTATAATTCTTTAGTTTTTTTTTCTAAAATACGGCAAAAATATCTACCATCAATTATCAATTACCAATACTTCTGAAAAAGCAAGAGATTTTCAAGGAAAAATACTACAATAATTTTAGTGGAAAAGGAGTTAATTGTTCAGTCAACTGAAAAGCTCAATTAAAACCATTTAAGTTGTGCCTGCCATATTGGCTGCTTAGTGGAACACTATTTCTTTACCCTTCTCCCTTAGTAGCCACTAAAACGTTTCTTATTTCTTTCACTACTGTAGTTTTTGGTCTGCTATTTTCAATGGCTAGTAAGTATTCATCGGGTCCGTCACCACGGTCATATTTGTAGTTTGATCTGTCTCTATGTATTTAAGAACTTCTCCTATCGCTACCGTTTCACCAGTAAAAACTGAGCAAGCCTCTGGCAGTTAAAATAACTTTCGAATATGATAATTTAGAACCGAACGTCTTAGTTACTTATCTATTTTGAAGCAACCGTAAAAAAGATGTTAGACTCCTTGTATTAATCCCAATATTCAAAAAAAAAATTTTTGAACTTCAATTTGTAGTGCCATATCCTTTTTACATCTGGTGATTGTGAATTAATGACCCCAGCTCATGTGTTGGGCAAATGTCCGAATAACATGCTCCTTTTCACTAGTGTTGTCCAAATGCGAGACCTAGATGAGTCTTGGTCTTGCGGACCCAGTCTTGGACTTGGTCTTAGTCTTGTACAAGAGTCTCTTAACAGTCTTGCAGTTACCTATTAGCTTATTACTATAGAGATATTACTGTAATTTTTTAGAACGGAGAAACCTAACTAAGCACGAAAGAAAAATTAAAAGCATCAGTATGTTGGTTATACCAGTAACTAAAATTGCCAAGTATTAGTAACTATTTTGCCTTAATTTTTATTCAAAAAATCTATTTTTTTTCACCAGTTTTGGTCTTGCAACAGTTAGGCTGTCTTGATCTTGGTCTTGCAAAATACAAGACCAAGACCGATTTTGGGCAACACTACTTGTCATCCGTCGGCACAATAATATAAAACATCGAATTCCTTGAAATGAAGAAATATGCATGTTCCCTCGAGGTTTATTGCCTGGATGCAAAAGGCTCAACTAGGTTTGTCGACATTCTAGCGTTCGATGGGACGGAAAAGGAAGCACTATTAATGGATCTCACGATCAGGATCAAGACTTCAGGATACAGTCAGAGAAGGAGGATATAAGAAATGCATACCTTACTTAAAGGAAATTATAGAGATGAGTTCGTCGAGAGAAAAATTCTCAGTTAACAGTTTGTAATCAGGAAAACCATCTCTCTTACTTAGAGTAATTTCTTGTAGAGGCCGGGTTTTGGAAGGGAGCAGATGGAGACCATGGCAGAAACAATTATTTTAGACTCATTGGGAATCCTCCATCACCACATTTATTGATTGATCTTGGCTTTCGCTTATTCAATCCCTGTGTGATGTTCTTGGCATATTAGCTGTTGCAGTGGTCCCACTTAACTATCTCTTATTATTATTTTTTTTTATATTATCTGTTGATTGATTGAGTATGCTGTTTGATTTAGCTACTCCCCACAGTTGTGCTGCCGCGCAATATTATTTAATAATGTGGATAACGGGGAAGAGACTTCATTAGAAGAATAGGTCGTAATATAGGCCTCGGTGTTCTCAGTCAAAAAATAGTTTATTATAAAATCATCCAAATATTCCCCAATTCAGGCATCATGGATAAAGTATAAATTTAAAGCATTTTGGTAATGATCAACTGAAAAATTAAAAAAAAACTCTTAGAGGACTTACTGACAGACT